GAAAGCTTACCCACTCAAAGTTAAACTGAGGTGTGTAGAATGGCAATGGGCTGTAATCAGTATCCAGAGGAAGAGGAGATAGTCAACTGATGCAAAGAATGTGTGATGAAGATATGGGGTGTGGTCCATATATCAGCCAACAAGATCTCCAACAATGGACAACAGAAGTGGGCAACCATGGAAAGATGATGATGGTCCTATCATGATGGAAGGCATCTTCTGCAAAATCTAAAAGAAGTAGAGCCAGGAATAAGAGTAGAGGGAGCTGGTAAATGAGGTGAGTGGTAGATATGTCCAGAAGAGGAGAACACTATTGGGAACACAACGAATGAAGAACTTGAGAATCGAATGACCACCCTGTAAGGAGAACAGTGTCAAAACAGGATAATTGATCTGGGGTATTGTAAGCCAAGATGAGTGTGTGTTTAAAGTTGGCCTTCAAAGGTACATCCCATATTTAAAAATAAAGCAAATGGGAATGGGTGCCCCACCACTGGTCAATAGTTGATACAACTATTGATCATGATTAATGGTCTTGTACTGATGGTAGGAAATAATCCAATGCATGAATGAACAACAAGAAGTTTCAACAGATTGAAGTATAGAGTCATGTTAAGTCAATGAACAATCAACAACCTGTGACCTCTTGAGAATCAATGTGTCTCCAACCCGTAAGAGAAGTATATGTGAAAAAAGAGCAACTTGGAACATGGAGAAATGAAAGGAATTCCAACCAAAGTGTTGTCTCTGATGAGCCACCAGGTAAAATCCACAGATCCAAAGATTGTGCAACACTCAATGAATATGAATGTGTGCAGGACTCAAGGGAAAAGGGTTACCCTGGAAGTTCAAGTCTCCAAAAGAAGCAAAAGCTCACATGTCAAGAGAACAGGAGAAAAGTTCTTTGGTCACCCTGAGCTCCAGCAATATGCAGGTATGGAGCAAAAAGCAGCCAGCTATCCATTTTTGTATGAAATGGCAGACCATTGGAATGAAGATGTCTGGCAAAACCCTTAGCCAATCTACAGAAGACACAAGTTGTTGATGGTGGTCCAAATGGTAGAGTGCAGAATTGACAAATATGACCTGCATGGACAAAAACAAAGGTAACATTTATATGCAGGGGAATGAGGAAAGTTAAGTTAAGCATTTCAGACATTCACTTTAGTCAGTCAGAGACCTTGAGTAAATTCATACCTAAGGGTCAGGAAATCTTATGGTGAAACGAGGAAGGTTTATGAAACAACAGAACTCCACATCTCACTGCAACGAAGAATTATAAGCCGTGAAAATAACGTCAAAGAAGGGTGACTCACTGGATTGATAGTTTCCTCACCCACAAGATCTTGCACTGGTTTGGAGAAATGCTGACAAGAAAAATTATGCCACTGAGGAGAGAAAGGAATGGGCAATGAAGGAATTGGAGGGGTATAAAAAGAAGAGAGTGTCTTGGACAATGCAAGAAGCATCCAATAATCAGAGATTAAAAAAGTGTGCCATAGATGAGGCTTGCCACTTAAACCTGTGTAGGAAGGAATGGTGGTGGGGGGAGCAAGAGAGAGCTGTGCAAGACAAAAGACCAAAGGAGACAAAAGGAAGGAAAATCAAGTTGAAGCTTCCACCACATGTATTGACTGGTGTACATAGGGTGCCAAACAAAGAACTATCACAACAAGCCACATAATTATTTATTAATTTCTTTACATTACCTAAACTACTGTATGTGTGTTTAAATCAAATTCCAATGTTTCTTATTTGTTGCCGATTGTTACTTCATACAACAGTGAAGTATGTAACAGACCCCTTCTAAATCCATTGTCTGATAGAAATGTGTGGATCAGTGGGTGTCAACAAATCATCTCTGGGTTTCCATTGTCAGTTGGGAATATACAGCTTCAAATAGAGGAGAAGTTTCCAAGATAGCTAAAACCTCACATGGAAAGTGGTTAAATGTAGAACTGTGGAAAAGTATGATACCGGTACTCCACTGCATCAAGGATGTTCATAACTTTAGGTCATGTGATACAGAAAGAGCAACAAAAGGCAAACTATGATTCAGGGGTAATTCTGACTGTCATCAAATTGTCAGTACATAAAAAAATATTTTATCAGTGATAAAATCACATATAAGCTCTATACTAACAGTAAACAGTGGGTTAATCCTTCATTTCAGTTAGTATAACACTTACTTCACACTTGAAATGTCTCTGGTTTAACCCAACTCACAGGTGATGGTATAGAATAAGATTAGGAAAGTGTCACTAGACTCAGGTTTATGCAATCAAAGATTCAAATTCAAAGAGAATTCAACCTAATTTTATTGATATACATGCCTGAGACAGGGAGTAATAGCATGCATAAGAAAAGAATTATTATTTAATAATTAAAATTAAAACAAGTAAAATTTCACACTACTTACATTGGGAAGAACACAATACATTTAAATTCTACATGTATTTACTTACTACTAGTTATTGTGGAACTTTCATGTTCATTTTTCTCCAATTTGATATCCAACAAAGCTTCCTGTTTCTCATTAGGAAATGGTTCAACCTTCATCTTTAATACTTCCATAATTACACAGAAGTTTCACCTTTATATTCTTATCAAAACTTGCAGTTAGACTAGAGAGAAATAAATTAAGAATTAGATGTTGTATCCTTCAAACAGGTTACAAAGTCTTCAACAATTACGAATCCCAAAATTCACATTATCTTGCTAACTTTCATATCAGATTAAAAGCTAGTTAAATGTTTTAATAATGAATATAAACATTATAAGCATCACAACTGTTTTATATTTGATGTATTTGACCTTTTAGTTTCAAATGAATGTGAGTTGTTTACCACACGTAAAAGAAATAGACATTAATGGTTATTAACTTCATAAACACAATCCTTTAAAAGTCTGTGTTTATTCAAACTATACCTTACTAATTCCTCTAAATTTCAGTAGTTCTAAAAGTAACACATAAAATATTGTATAAAAAAAGATTGAAAACTATATGTGGTACAAGTAAAAAAGAAATAGCAATTTATCACCTACATATGTTAAAATAAATTTGTTGAAATACTTCCCAAAATACATTAAGCACAAAGTTTATTATTTTTATGCTGACCAGATAGCATACAACTATAAATAAGCCTGTTTCTAGCATAATATTGTTATAATTATCATTTAAAGAGAAAAACCTTGTAATTCTTTACAATAAAATCAAGAGTACTCCGTGAGAGCAACCTGCTCTAGAAAATGTTGAGGAAATAAAAGAAACTTTATTATCAGATGAAATATAGAACATAAGATGTAACTAAATGGTCAAAACTAACCAGAATCACATGAAGAGAAACAAAGTGAAGTTCAGTAACCATATATTTAGAACACTGGTGTTCCCTCTAACACTAGAAGTGCCAACATTCCAAGTTCAGGTGAATAATTAAGATATATCTACATTATTATAAAATGAATAGCAGAAAGGAAAAATTTTACAAGGTCTAACTGAAATAATAAACCATTAAAAGAATTTCCATATCAGCAAAGACTATGTTCCATGTCTGTTCAACAATTTTAACAAACAAATTTCTGTTCCTAGCTGTGTATTATACCCACAGCTCAAAACACAGTTGTGTATTATTTCATACTACTTAGATTGTACATGTACTGTAGCATGTTGAAAAGTATTCTACAAAGTTAAAATGTTGATCATTTGGTAAGATTAGGTTAAAATAATTTGAGAATTCCATGTACAATGGTATTTCCTATTGCCTTTTGGAATATTACATGATTTTCACTTTCAGACTGTTTAAAATCTCTAAGAATATTTACTACTCATTAGTCAAGATTAACACAAAACTTCCTTTTTCCTCAACCATTAGTATTACAATATTGAACGACAAAATTCCATTATACTTCTAGTTTTTACAACTTCACTATTATAAGTTACAGTTAACACCAGCCCATATCAACATAGGATTTGGTGAAGCTTTAGAATCAATAAGATGCTGGTACAGTGACAGTAGTATGAATATTACCTTTGACAAAATGTAAGGAATTGAAACTCTACCACTACAATGAGTATTAAAGAGGGAGAAAAAAACAAAATTATTAAAAAAATAGAAAAGAAAATATATGCCAAAATGGTCTTCATTTTGTTTTAATCAAACCAGGCTAAAAAAATAAAAAGAACTGTAACCCATAAAAATCCTAAAAACACAATCATTCTGAACGATGTCATCATCTCCAATGCCACCACCCAACTTAACATCTTGTGGAAATTCAGTTTTAGTTTTAACATTCACATCATTATAGTTTGAACTATCCAGATCATCATCACTGCTGTCACTGAACTTTGAAATAACATCATCTTCTAATAGATCACCAGGATGTTCTATTTTCTCTTGGACAGATATGTTCTAAAATCAAACAACATATTTAAAAGGTCAATAAAAATAACAACTAGTATTGTCATTACACATAGTCTCTACAGTTTACTAGTTTAAAACAATAATATAATTAATAAACCTAATGCTTCCAACTTACGTTTGTATATAAATAGTACTAAAACTACTTAAGTACTTAGGACATTTTTTGTGTCTTGTTCTTTAAGCAAACAAAACAAAGACAAAAAATTTCTAGAAAAGCAGTTTCATTTCTGTTACTTGTAGTTCCATATTATGGATTAACATTAAAGATGTTAAAACAGGAAATAATTTAATAGAAAACACTCAACAATCATTTTCTTACTTAAACAAATATGAATATCTTACTAAAATGAAATTTGTTGTTTGGTCATTTGGAGCTTTATGGATCAAAGTATTATGGCTATCTACAGAAAACATAAAAATCCCAAAGTAGAAGTAAAATAAATATATCAAATTTAGATCTATACACTTCAAATTAATCCTGTCTCATCTGGTTAAATAACTTTTTAAAAAATATCAATAATTTAACCAATTTTTTTAAGCCAGTGTCAATACACTTTAGTTTTAGATATTTATACTTACCAGATGTACTTTTTAACACAGATTCAAGTATTCAGTATGCAAAATTAAAATGACTGGAGATTTGGGATCATTCATGTCCGTGACTATATGTAGGTGGTGGTGTTCAGTAAATCATATCTTTAGAAAGAAGTGACAACAATACATTCACTGTACATGTTGTAACATTAATCTACTGAAATGGGTTCCAACCATTAATCAGAAAGTTTATACATGAAGAACCAGGAAGATAAACACTAGTCAGAAAGAGTTTCTTTCTGTATCATTTTATAAAAACAATTACTGTACTCCCTATTCATATTCAGGCAAACCCAATCTTAATATTTTTTGATGTTTTATTGTCATTTTTATTACTGCAAAACTTTTCAAGCAGTCAAAAAGCTTGTGATCAAAAGCTGATACCTAAACTTAATAAAATAATTAATAATATAGTGATAAACATTTTAGTACTATATATATATTTTGGCATATATAAATATTTATTTACAACTTGTACTATTTAACAAAATGTATAAGGTACTGATGTTAATTAACATGTTAAAGTAGACAGATCATTAGAGGATTTGATGATAATTAACCACTTCAAGTTGGAAAATATTTCTAAAATTAATCCAGAGATACTAGTTGTGACACTGTACTATCATATTTCTACAGGTGATTTTATTTTATCTATTAAAAACATCTCTTGAAAGTGGAATGTTACCTACAGTTTGTTTTCAGTGTTATTTAGGTTCAGGTAGAAAAGTCTATAAAGTATGTAACTGTGAAAACTGCATCATAGTTAGCTTTATATTTTATATTGGTATTTACACTGATCATGTTAGAACATTAAATATATTTAGAAGTTCATCATATTTATTATTAACTATGATGTGGTATTATTTATATCTATTTCAGATATGAAGACCAGTGTGAACATTTGTTGTGAGAGTCAGTGTCCTGGTTATCACGTAAATGCAAATAAACTAAAAGAATTTAATATACCTCATTGTAATGGTAAAGCATGCACTTGTGTAGTCAGTGGAAAACATCTTGAAACAATGGATAACCTAATGCAAGAACAGAGGATGCAATCTGGAGAGAAACCATATCATTGTGCAGTTTATGGAAAACATTTTGAGAGAAATAGTCCTTTAGAACAGCATGCAAGAAATCACACTGGGGAGAAATCATACAGTTGTGGAATTTGTGAAAAACAATTTAGAAGAAACAATGATTTAAAAAGACATAGAAGAATACACACTGGGGAGAAACCTTACAGTTGTTCTGTGTGTGAAAAAAAATTTAGATCAAATGCTGAATTAAAAGGACATCAAAGAATACATACTGGGGAGAAACCATACAGTTGTACAGTTTGTGGAAAACAATTTAGAAGAAACGGTGATTTAAAAGAACATCAAAGAATACACACTGGGGAGAAACCTTACAGTTGTTCAGTGTGTGAAAAACAATTTAGAACAAATGGTGAATTAAAAGGACATCAAAGAATACATACTGGGGAGAAACCATACAGTTGTACAGTTTGTGAAAAACAGTTTAGAACATGGGGTAATTTAAAAATACATCAAAAATTACACACAGGGGAAAAACCATACAGTTGTTTAGTGTGTAGAGAACTCTTTGGTACAAAGAGTGCCTTAAAATCACATCAAGGAATACACACGGGTGAAAAACCTTACAGTTGCACAGTTTGTGAAAAACAATTTAGGTTAAACAGTGAATTAAAAAGACATCAAAAAACACACACTGGTGAGAAACCTTACAGTTGTGCAGTATGTGGTAAACATTTTGTAGGAAGTAATACCTTAGTAAATCATCAAAGATTACATACTGGTGAGAAACCTTATCGTTGTGCAGTGTGTGAAAAACATTTTATATCAAAGGATGCATTAAGAAATCATCTAAGAACACACACTGGGGAAAAACCTTACAGTTGTACAATATGTAAAAAACAATATGGATCGAACTCTGACTTGAAAAAACATAAAAAATCACACACTGGGGAAAAGCCATACGGTTGTTCAGTGTGTGGAAAACGTTTTATAGGAAATAGTATCTTAAAATGTCATTTAAGGACACACACTGGGGAGAGACCTTACAGTTGTGCAATTTGTGAAAAACAATATGGATCAAATTCTAGCTTGAAAAGGCATCAAAAAACACATGCTGGGGACAAACCACACATTTGTTCAGTGTGTGGAAAACATTTTATTTCAAACAGTGAATTAAAAAGTCATTTTAAAAAACACACTGAAGAGAAACCTTACAGTTGTGCAGTGTCTGAAAAACACTTTTATACAAAGAATTACTTAAAATCACATCAAAGAACACATGTGGAAAAAATTTTATAGGAAGTAATAATTTAAGGAAACATCAAAGAATACATCCTCTTTGAAAACCATACAGTTGTTCAGTTTGTGGAAATTAAAAGACAAAAGGATTCTTTTGTCCATTTTCTACGTCCACCACAGGGAATCGAACCCTGTAATCCAGTATTGTTAGTCTGAAACTATCACTGTTCCACCAGGTAACTCTGCTTCATGTACTTACTTATCAGGAACTAAAATCAAGATACTAAATATGGTAGATAGAACCATGGAGAAGGTGTTACTTATTAATGTATTCTACCTTCCTCATCTACTTCGCAGAACAAGTTTATTGTTTTAAAATCTTTGATCAGCAAGTGGAGATACCAGTTGGACCAAGAAAAAGCTCAATCTCTACCTCACTATGATGCAACAAGAGAAGTAGTGCTTTTACAGGGTTCCTAGCAGTATCAGCTAACTTTAAGACCTGAAGAGATGTATAATATTTATTTGATCACATAATACTGCAAGATGAATATTAATTAAAAATCAATCATTGAGAATCCACTCATTTATTATGTTGAAGTTTGCTTTAACTTCTACTAAAAAGCTAGTGAAGTTTAAAAATTCATAAAAATCAACAAGAAGAAAATGTATTAAACACAAGTGTTTGCAGTGAACTAATATGCTCAAATGTTTCACAATTTCAGTAGGTTCTGAGCTTTGTTGCCAATATCAGTCATCAGCTCTTTTATTTCAGTAACTTTTTCTTTCATTTGTCTCCTAATAGCATTATATTTAGTGATGAGATGAGCCATTTTCCTTACTGTGCATTTGTCAGCTTTTTCAGTAAATTTATCTGCATTCAATTGAGGAGATTTTGTTACTTCATAAAAATGAGTTTTTCTCTTCTTCTGGACTGTACATGAACACCTGTCTCAAGTGTTATCCAGTAACAAATTTGCAAATCAAGTTGTTTGGATTTTGTAGTTTTGTTTAGTCTTATTAAACATTATTGCAAAATTGCTAGATTGTGCCTGTGAAATCAACTGATCCTATATGTGTAGTGCCAGTCTAAACCTTGTCAAATACCCTTTTTGTTTTTACTCCCTCACATTTGAATGGTTTGCAGATATTACTATCACCAAACATGGACAGATTCAGTATTCTCATTGGACTTGTATGAGTTATGCTGAGTAACAGTTTCCAGAGTCCAAAGAATTTGTTTTGAGTATCTCCATGGATCCAAAAGTCTTACATAGGTTGGCAGCCTCTGGTTGTATAGGCCTAGATCTGGTCTACCTGTTATCTCCAGGCACATACGTTCCTTCACTGACCCCAGTACTTGTTTCTGTAGACCTAGATCTGACTGTGCTATTTGGCATGTAATTTATAATTATATTTGTATGCATACACTGGAAAGTACATAAATTAGATTTGTGTTTTCCGTTTTCACTGTGTGAGTGAATAATCACAACGCCCACTGTTCTAAGTGACAATGTTTTTGTGTCCCAGGCTTAATGTAAACAAACTGTAACCATGGTAAGCCTAGTCCTGCCATTTACATTGTTAGTGCTGCACATGTCTATCAAAACAAGCCAAACTTGATTTTGTGCTTCTGGTCAAGGTAATAGGCCTAGACAAAATGATTGCATAGCAAACTTAATTCAGTTCTCTCAGTTTTGAATATGGCCTAGATAAAATAATGCAAAGTACCTTAAATATTATAATTAGGCACGAATATGATCAAATAATGATTTAAAGCACAATAGTTAAAAATAAGTAACTTATGATATAAGTAAATAATTAAAACGTTCGCTATTTGTTAAATAATGTAATGGTTAGTGGCAAATGGAATGCATTTTCGAAAAATAAACAATATACAATTTGACTCGAAAAATATTCTATTTATAAAGTTTCGTGTATAATCCATTTTTCTTTTGTTTTAAATAATTTTATTTACGTAAACACTCTTTAATGTGAAGAATATTTTTTTTTATTTAATAACGTTAAAATGTTACTTTGAAGTAATGTTATTATTAATGGTGGCATTCGGAAGAAAGAAAATTTTAAAACCTTTGTGATTCGTTTCATGTTATGTGTGTAATGTAAAAAAAAAAAAAAAAAATCGATAAGGATATGTACAAAACCGAACAAAAACAGTATAGTGTAT